GAGAGAGAGAGAGAGAGAGAGAGAGAGAGAGAGAGAGAGAGAGAGAGGGAAACTTAGCTACATGGAGTGCAACTGAGTTCATTTTTATACAGGTTCTGAAGACTTGAACTCAGGATCTTTCTGAACCATCTCCCCCAGTCAGAATTTTTGTCTGAGTACTTTTATGGGTTTTTCAGAGACAAGATCTCTATGTCTTTCTGTCTGTCTGTCTATCTTGTTTGTTTGTTTGTTTGTTTGTTTTGGTTGGAACAGAGGCTCTCTGCATAGCCCTGGATCAGGCTGGCCTTGAACTCACAGAGATCTGCCTGTCTCTGTCTCCTGAGTGCTGGAATTACCATGTAAACTGTCCCAAGTAGTTGTATGTCGTTCTTGTAGCTCAGCTTCTCTTGTGTGCTGTGGAAGCACTCTGCCTATAGAGTGACACTCCACCTCTTCTGTCCTTGCTATATTGTTTTAGGTACTGCATTTGGCAATCAATTGCTTATCCTGATCCAGGGAACCCTACACCTCCTCTCCTTGGGATCCAGGCTCCCATCTTTTCTACAAATTGAAAGGAAGGCTGAGAGACTAGAACCAGTGTGTCATTAGGACAGCGTATATAAAGGTCTTGGTAGTAACCACCTTTGTCTTCTCCAAACTCTTCCCAGGAGTCATTGCTCCAGTGGAAGGAACTGCCTTCGACCTGAGAAAGCCAGTGGAGCTCGGGAAGCACCTGCAGGGGCACCACATCCATGGATTCGACCATAACTTCTGTCTGAAGGAGTCGAAAGAAAAGAAGTTTTGTGCGAGGTTGGGAGCTTTGTTCTTATTGCCTCTGCATGGGAGAAGAAACCGCAGTTCTTATTTGAGGAACATTCCCTGTTGTGGTTTCAGTAGCACCTAATGGGAGCAGAGGTCAAATACCACACCCCATATCTTTGTAAAGTCCCCTGCCACAAGTGAATTCTGTAGAATCCTTAACCCCCAACCTCACATCCTCCCTGTCACCTGACCCAGCATCCTTTCTGGCTTTCCATCTCTGCCTACCCTCCGTCCTGCCTTCACTGAACTCCAGAGCCCTCAATACATTCCTTGTATGTACCTTTCCTCCTTGGAGCTCTGGGAACAGGGGCCTCTTAGGTTCCACCTGCTCAGGAAACCTTCCTCCTGGGTATCTATGGCTCATGGTCCTTTCCTCACCACCCCTAACCAAGGACCTCTTCCCACCTCCTCCCCATTGATTCAGATCCTGGGCCTCCTCCTCCTAAACAGTTTTCTCCAGCCTCTTGTTTGACAATGTATTTTGCTTTTAAAAATTTTTTTAAGTTATATAACTAGTGTGCATTAGAGAGAGGATGGGAGAGAGGAGGGGGAGGGATGGAGGAAGGAAGGAGGAGAGATAGAGAGAGAGACAGAGACAGAGACAGACAGACAGACATTCAGACAGACACAATATGTTTTAGAAATTTATTCTCAGGCTTGTATTAACAGCCATCTTACCAGACCAACAACATACTTTGTTTGAATGATTTCTTATGTGATTTGCCTAGTAGCATAAAACTCTATGCATAGGCCTTTATATCCCTTTGATAAGAAGTACAGACCCAGGCTAGGCAGTTAGTTGCCACAGGCCTTTAATCCTAGCACTCAGGAGTCAGAGCCAGGTGTATATCTGAATTTGTGGCCAGCCTGGTCTACAGAGTGAATTTTAGAACAGTCAGGGCTACACAGAGAAACCCTGTCTTCAAAAACCAAAACCATTAATCACAATGTTTTCAGAACCAAATGTGGGGGCAGGACACAGGCCTTTAATCCTAGGACTCCAGAGGGACAGGCAAGGTAGAGGTCTAAATTTCAGTGCAGCCTGGGCCATACCCTTGGAACATATATCTCAATGGCAGTGGCAGACTGCTCACAAACAACTACAGGGCCCTGGGTTCCATGCCGAGCATCCCAAGAGAAGAATCTCAGGACCCTTAAATTGCCTCTCTCCAGCCTGGCTGTTCCTCCCTGATTCCCATAACTGGCTGTGGTCAGTTTGTGTTACTATTCCCCAGTGAGGCCAAGGTCATGTGACAAGTTGTTTCTGAGGGTCCTCAAAGCCAACAGCTCATGCCTTCCCTGTGAAGCTTTCCAGAATTTTTGTCCTGTTCTTATCTCCTGCATCCTTCTTGCCCTTGTTCCCAAAGCTGTTTCCTGGCCTCTTCCCGACTCAGACTGGCTTGTCTTTACCCACAGGGTGCATCATGCTACGAGTGGGAGGATCCTGGAAGTGCACACCACCCAACCTGGTGTCCAGTTTTACACAGGAAACTTCTTGGATGGTACTCTGAAGGGCAAGAGTGGAGCGGTCTATCCCAAGCACTCTGGTTTCTGCCTCGAGACCCAGAACTGGCCTGATGCAGTCAATCAGGTAAAGACACAAGCTCGCTTGTCAGAGTGGCGTTGATCCACGGCAGGTAGCAACACTCAAGTCAGGCTGCACGGTTAACATCCATGTTTGTGCTTTTCGATGAATACAGCCACAGAAACCCCCAGCTAAATAGCTGTGGTTACAGGCACACATTTTGTACCGTCATCTTTCTCCAGGGTCTTCCCTATCAATCCTCATTCATTTTCTTTGCACTTTCTTGCGGAGTGGGGGCTGGGCAGAGACAAGCCATGGAGATCAGAGGACAGCTTGCAAGGGTTAGTTCTCTTCCTCCATGTGGGTTCCAGTGATGAGACTCCGGTCGTCAGCCTTGGCCTCGGGACCAGTGATGAGACTCCGGTCGTCAGCCTTGGCCTCGGGACAGTCTCACCAGCCCACAAGCACTCTGCTGAGAGGCCCCTCAAATCTTCCCTTTTGTGCTCTCATTTCCTCTCTAGTTAGTACTTAGAGCATCCCTCCTCGAAGTGTCAGTCATGGGAAGAAGCCTGTGGCTCACTCCAGAGTGGAAGTCCAGGCATCGCTTCCCATAGCAAGTCTCGCTTTGATAAAGTAGTCTTGGTGCTGTGGGAGATTTTCGTTCTCACACTGCAGATCTGTGATACACTGTCCTCACATGGGCATGGTCCACAGACCCTGTTCCAGACACTAGTACAGAGGCAGGGGCACACCCCATATGGCTGTTTGTATGGCCATGATGGCTGGTAAGGTCTAACTGCTGATCTCCCTTGGCAGCCCCAGTTCCCTCCGGTTCTGCTGAAGCCTGGAGAGGAGTACAACCATACCACCTGGTTCAAGTTCTCTGTCGCTTAAAGAAGATGGACAGTGGGACCTGGTTCAGGGCCAGGTTGGTCCCTACTCACCTGCTTCCGCTTAGACGTAATCCTGCGAGTTGTCATATAGATGGCAGCTGGCGTAACAGTCAGCTTGGATACTGATGCCCTTTCCCAACATTTGGCTACAGCCATGTCTAATGACCAGCTCTGTTCTCTTCTGCCAGTGCCATCACCTAAAGTCTTTCCCTGATGGAGAAATGGTCCTCTGGACTCCCCTGATTTCATAGGCTCCGTCTCTCTATCCTGGCTCTATCTGGCTTCCCCTGCTTTCATAGATTCTGTTTCTCCATCATGGCTCCATCTTGTCTATTTTCTTCAAGCCTTCCTTTCTTTGACAGAACTCTGTTTTCCCGCCTCCTCTTTTACCTCAGACTACCCTCCAGAAGTTTTAACCAGGACTTGAGTTCAAGCTGTGAGAATTCAAGTCCCCCTCTGTGCCCCTACCTCAGTCTGCCTAAACATTCCTAGGGTCACTGAAGGACAAGCAGGGTTTTGGACCCTGCTCGTCAAAGCCTTTCTTCTCAGACTTACCATAGGAGCTACTACAGAGATGGCCGGGCAGTGAAGAGCAGACACTGCTCTTGCAGAGGACCTGAACCCACCCATCAGGCGCTGGGGAGCAAGCACTCTCTTCTAGCCTCCGGAAGTACCACACTCATGCACATCCACAACAGTTAGAAATAAATCTTAAGTAAGAAAAAAATCACTTTAGAAGCACTGGAGTGAGTTGAGCTATCTTTTCAGACATGATGTGATTTAAATTGTAAGATCCAAATACCCAGAATAATTTCAATTTTCCTGCCTTTGAGGCTAACTAGGAGCTTGGCTAAGGTGTATTAAGATGCACAGGCATAGAAGGCAGGAGCCTCACACCAACAGTGCCGAGAGCATTCGACTTTGCACTAGAAGTAGATGCTCCCTTGAGATGACACGGGCGGAGGGTTCTCACGTCCTCAAAGATTACCTCATCGCTGATGTGCCTAGGCTGGGATTTTGAAAAAAAAAAAAAAGTTTCTGTTATTATCTGCTACAGTCAGTTCAAATAAAACCAAAATTTTCATCTTCAGAAGACTGTTGTTCACTCTGTGTGTGTGTGTGTGTGTGTGTGTGTGTGTGTGTGTGTGTGTGTGTGTGTGTATTGTAGCACTCATGTGTGCCCGTGTGGAGGTGAGATGATGATTTCGGACATCTCCCACTCCACTTCTTTCCCTTGAGTCAGTGCCTTTCCTGAGTCTGGGGCTCAGCTTTTTTCCAGCTGGGCTGGCTGCCAGGAAGCCTCCTCTATCTCTACCACTTCCCCTAAGCACCAAGTTACAGGAATGCATGACTATGCTCAGACTTTTTATGTGGGTGCTAGGAATCTGAACTTGGTAGTCACGCGTGCAAAGCAAACACATTTACTCTCTGAGCCGTGTGGGGACTTTTGTCTTCTCACCTGTGAGACAAAGGGACAGGAAGATGAATACATGTCTACAGGGTAGGACCTAAAGCTGAGATATAAATCTAGTTCTTTTTCTTCTGGCCCAGGGCCCTCCCATGCTGCTGGAGCACAAGGCAAGGGTGAACAGCAAATGCTCAAGTGACCAAACCCCTAAGCAACAAAAGCAGGAGCCTGGAGCTGTGGCCTGTTCCTCTTCCTCTCCACATTTGAGCAGATGTGCTAGGCCTAGCACATCTGCTCAGAGTTAACAGTCTGTCCTTTGATCACACCCTTCTTGGACACTCTGTATAAACCCTTACTGTTCCCATTGTGAGGGAGCTGTTTCCTCCAAGAGGGAGGACAGAGGCTCCTAAGAATCAGAAAGTTCCTCAAAGCTGTAAGATTTGCAAGGTCCCTCCTCCAGATTAGAGAAGTCAGGGTTCTCTAGAGTAACACGACTTACAAAGTATATTTTTTAGAATGACATATAGGCAGTAGTCCTTACATCCCTATATATTTGATAAGGATATATCCTTTGATAAGAAGCCCAGGCCTATTGGCACTATACTCAAGAAAAAAGAAAAGTTCTATTTTTTTTTTTTGAGAGGGAAAAATTACAATTCATGTCTTAGTTGCTTTTCAGTTGTGTGACCAAAGCACCATGGCCAAAACAGACTTAAGTTTATTGAGGGTTCACAGTTTCACGGTGAGTCCATGACCAACGGATCATCCTGGAGAGCGTGGTGCTGGAGCAGTAGCTGAGAGCTTACATACTTATCCACAAGTAGGAGACATATGGTGAGAGGCAGAGCTGAGAATGACATGGGCTTTTGAAACCTCAAAGTCCACCCCAGACTTCCAATCGGGTCATGAATCCTAATCCTTCCCAAACGGTTCCACCAACTGAAGACCAAGTGCTCAAATGCATGAACCTGTGGGCCATCCTGTTAAAGCCACCACAATTTGTAATATATAGTACTGGTAAATAGAGAGTTTCTGCCCAATTACCACTGGTACAAACATGTTAATACTACTTTATTGGAGGGAAACTTGATAGAATCTATCATTATTGCCAAACTCTTGAGCTAGGGCTGGATGTCTCACACCTTTTATCTCAACACACTGGAAACAGAGGTGAGCAGATCTCTGTGTTTGAGGCCAGCCTTGTCTGTATAGTGAGTTCTAGGACAGGCCAAGCTATATAGAGGGGACCCTGTCTCAAAAATAAAAAATAAATAAATAATGAATAATGATAATAATAATAAACCCACCCAGTTGTCAGAACATGGCCCAGGAATGGAGTCATGTGAGAAGAATTCTTTTTTTTTTTTTTTTTTTAGTTTTTTCGAGACAGGGTTTCTCTGTGTAGCCCTGGCTGTCCTGGAACTCACTCTGTAGACCAGGCTGGCCTCGAACTCAGAAATCCGCCTGCCTCTGCTTCCCAAGTGCTGGGATTAAAGGCGTGTGCCACCACCGCCCGACTGTGAGAAGAATTCTTTTTTTTTTTTTAAAGATTTATTTATTTATTATATATGAATACATTGTAGCTGTCTTCAGACACACCAGAAGAGGGCATCAGATCTCATTACAGATGGTTGTGAGCCACCACGTGGTTGCTGGGATTTGAACTCAGGACCTCTGGAAGTGCAGTCAGTGCTCTTAACCACTGAGCCATCTCTCCAGCCCGTGAGAAGAATTCTTAATACTTGTGAGAACATCCAAGGAAACAAGACAAGAGTCTTGTGAGCTCAGTTTCTTCAAAACACAGACTTGTTCTTAGAATGTGTTTTCTTGCTCCTGCCAGGAGTGGCAGATAGGAGTGAGTTTACTTCAGATTACTCATTATTGCTTGCAGGTGTTATTCAATTAAATGTTTATATTCCCCCATGGAAAAATATGTTTTTGCCACATGTGACTTGTCCTTGTGATTGTATACAGCTTGAACTCAAGAACTTTACCCATGTGACCGTCCTTCACTCTCAGAGTATAAGTTGTCTGAGACTCTGACTAAAGTTGGCTATTGCACTGGACTTTAGTCTCCTTGGTTTATGAGCTCTGTTCCCCCAGGTCGCCTCACTTCTAGAGCAGTAAAGCAAAGTGGTTAAGAGACCTAAGTTTGGTTCCCCACATGTATGTCAGGACCATGTATGTCCAGGGGATCTCCCACCTTCTTCTGGCTTCTTTAGGCACCCAAATACATGTGACATATATTCACAGAGAGACACAGATACACATAAATAAAGATAAACTGAAAAAAAATAAAATACTAGAGCAAGCATGTAAAGGCAGATAACAATGCTTATCAAAATATAACTGGTAATAACGAAGAATTTAAGCTACTCAATAAATGCCATCAACACGGGAAAATGTGGTCAGCTGAGATCCTCATGAATATCAGAGACTGAAGCCATTGCCAAGGCAACTGGGCATAAGAGAGGCAGCGTTTGACGCAAGTTCACCAGGCCAGATAAAACTTCACAGGAGTTAAGAGAGAGATTAATTCAGCAGGGACGTCGGGACTGGAATGGGCTTTACTAGCTTTGCTGGGACCCTCGATGGGACGCGATCTGTAAGACACAGGAGGCTTGCTGAGACCCTCGATGGGACTCGATCTGTAAGACACAGGAGGCTTGCTGGGACCCTCAATGGGACGCGACCTGTAAGACACAGGAGGCTTGGTGACTCTGAATGACGTGCAGTAGCATGTAAGTCAGACTCATACCTTGCTAGAGCATTCACAAGGAAATGAAAAGAAAAAAGTAAATAAAAATAAAAGCAAGCAAACAACGGGACCTGTCTGGAACACCTGAAAGCAAAATGTGGTAAAATTTATGTTGAGCTAGTGAAAAAAAAAAAAAAAAACCTGACAAAGCTAAATTCAGTAAGAGCCTCTGAAGATGTTAAAGTCTGAAAACAGTTTGTGAAAGAGAGATAGTACAGATGAAAAAGGCAGTTTATCCCAGGGATGGACGCTATCCATCCACAGTAACCTGTGCACGTTTTTTCTCCCGCAAGAGAGTGTAGCAAAAATAGAAATGATTCACTAAAGCCAAGCAAGGTATGTCTCAACAGGCAGGTATGCCTGACAGAGGGGCAGCAGACCTGGCCACAGCACTAGCTAAGAGCCTGTCAGTCCTGGGGAGCCACTTCAGGCAGCAAGCTGAGGTGGCAGCTGGAGCCGGCCTCCCCTTGAGCCTATCAGAGGTGCTAAGACAGCCCGTGAGAGTTTCCAGGACCAGACAGCTCAGCTCATGGAGGATAACTGGAGAGTGTGGAGCCTCCCGTCTACATGACTGCTCCCCACATTCACCTTTTGGGGAAAAAATAGTGCCTGTGGGAATTCTTTTCATGAAGTATCGGCCATGACTAACACTTTTGTTTTCCAAGACAGAGCTTCTTCATGTAGCCCTGGCTGTCCCAGAACTCAACTCTGTAGACTAGGCTGGCCTTGAATGCTCTGCCTCCCAGTGCTGGGATTAAAGGCATGCACCATAGTCCAGCACTAACACTGTTTAAAGTGTTGTTTTAGCTGCTTACCTCTGAGACCAGTCAGTCCTTGTTTGGATTAACCAACAGTAGACTTGTAGAACTCTAGCGGACCCTTTGTAAGATCTCCTCTGTTAACCTTTCAAGAATTTTCCAGATTTAGGAAAGCACCTGAAGGGCATGTAAGCATGTAAGACGAGGCAAGACTGTGTAACCCTTGGGAATCTATTGGTGACATGCAACAAGGTGGGCACGAAGTCTTACAACAGCCTGGGCTTGAGAATGGTAAACAGGGCTAAAGATGTTCCCAGCAGCCCAAAATGAAATAAAAAACCAGTGCCAAGGGTGCCTTACCTCCCTACCAGTTGTTGGCCAGAACTCACAAAACAATACAGACTATTGCTTCTGATGTTCTGACCCTGTAGTACTTTGCCACACATGGAAGAAAAGCCTAGCTGAGACTGAGTGGGAAACCTCCCTTCCCTCACAGTTGGCTAGGTTTTAAGAGTGCCAGAATGTTGCCAGGCAGTGGTGGCACACACCTTTGATCCTAGCACTTGGGAGGCAGAGGCAGGTGGATTTCTGAGTTCAAGGCCAGCCTGGTCTACAGAGTGAGTGCCAGGACAGCCAGGGCTACACAGAGAAACCTTGTCTCGAAAAATCGAAACAAAACAAAAAAAGAGTGCCAGAATGCAGTAGGTAGGCTACTGATGAAAAACTGTCCCCAGGGGTCCTACTGTAGCTCCTTATGTTATAGTGTCAACATACCAGGCAAACATGTGCCCGCTAATACAGCATGATTGTTAGGGCACAATTATTTATGATTGGATCTGAGGCCCACCCCACTGGCAGGAACTCAAGTCTGGTGATGTAAGTCCAAAGCCTGTAGCTATGCAGGTCATAGACTCTTCTGGGGAAGCTACTGCTATTGTTTTTGCTAAACAGATGTGATGTACTCATGAAGTTGCCTCTACATATTTATTTATGCCTATAGATTATTGCTGCTGCTGGCCTTGGTCAGTGAGGTTCTTTGTCTGGGATAAGGCCAATGGTGGCAGTTACTACAACCACCTGTCTGTTCCAAGTTCTAAGGAAGGATTGTGGAATGTTTATACATCAGTCATTTCTTATCAGTTCCTCCACATTTCAGAAAGAGAGGCAAA